TTACGAAAAACTTTTTTTATAGGTATAGTTTCTAGGAATGCTCCAAATGATCGGCCGCTGATCTGAACCAGTTGATAATTACTTCCTTTGATTCTATACGTGGTCTCTCAGCTTGCCGATCACACAAACGGATCACATTTTTACGACGCGAAAGTAAAAAGTCTACAAAACTTTTGTTTATGTCAACAGTCTGCCCATACAGGCTATTTTGAACAATTGTGCATAAATAGGCTATATATTGATTCTTAGATGTCTCCATAAATTAAAAGAACATATAGCCAAATGAGCCTATATTGTGATATTTTAGTGGATTCACTCTGTATTTAAATGTGGTTGTCTCTCCTGAAACTCGTGGACGTTGGTCCTTTTAGCAGCATGAAAAATACAACTTTTTGTCAAATTGAGAATAGATACAGAAAGCAAACAAAGAGTGCTCCTTTTTTTAATTACGATATTTCTTTAATTTTCTAACAATAATCAATCCATATTGAGAACATGAAAACACACATCAATACAATATCCCCACCCACCCAACTTAACCCCGCGGTCTCTTAACAATGGGGTACATATGGATAGAAAAATTAACTGAAAAACAAAAAGCCACAGCCCACAGGAATCATAAAACCTGAATTTCAGCAATCAAAAAAAAAAAAAGGTTGGGGATTTAGTATCAGAGTGCTCCTTTTTAATGACTGAAGCTGCCAATCTCTTCAGTTGCAGCGCGCAGATGTGCTGTATTTAGAAACATTTGACTGTCTTCAGACTACAGAACGTGAACACAAATAAGCAACGGACAGTTTGAAAGCAGCTGCCTATCAGTGGGTACCCAAATGAGTTGAAATAGTCTCTTGGCTATTCTACCCACAGTCATAATTGTACCTGTTAATCCCCGACGCTCTCCCGCACCACAAATGACAAGATAAATATTCCACCCGTTACATCAAATATTAGCGGTTTATCCAGTGGATACCCGCACGCATGCAGGACTCTAGCGTGAGCAGATTGTACAAAAATGTATGAATGAAATCAGACAAAAATATGAATTTGCAAGCAATTCGCCAAATTGTAAAATTTACTTAAAGTCCCCCTGTGGGTTTTAATGGTGTTTGTCTATGTGGTGTTTTTACATTGAACCAAAGACAGTCTCAAAAACGTGATTTGAAATCGCTGGTGTTTCTGACGTCACATACTACCTTGTAACCAATCACATCAACGAGTGGATCTCTGAGCTGGTGTGAGTGGAGGCGGGGCTAATTTTCATATTCATAGAACCGCGTATACTAAATGAGGCAAGGGTGTGTAGAGTTACATTCAAGCTATTTTAAGGCATGAAGATTTTTTTTTTTTTCAAGAAAAAAAAACATTTAAATATGTAATTTTGGTGATCAAAGATTAGTTTTAAGGGATACAATTATTGACTACAGGGGACTTTAAGGATTGTAATGAGACTGTGCTGGTTCTCAGCTATAACATGAAAATAAAATTTTTAGCTAGAATTTGAAGATCGATGCATCCATAGATTTTGCATGTAGCGTAGGCCTATATGTCACTCAGATCTGTTTTGAAATATGTTGGACATTGATTTATAATGGAACGAAAGTACCTCCGTATTTGCAGTGTTGGTAGCAGGCATCATCTATAGGCAGTTTTCTCTTTCAGGTCAACTACTGTCATGACTGAGCAACAGTTTGAAAGAGACTTTTGCTGGAAAGTAAAAAAAAAAGTTCGCTAGATACTTGGCATTTGACACTGACACTATCGCCCCCTTGAGGTTTGTTACCGCCAAAGGATAGCAATGCAAGAGCACATTAAGTATGTTTAACAGGACGTCGCTACATCGCCTCTGAACAATTATATTTCTGGGGTGTCACCTAACTGCCTAAGGTGGGATTCCAGTCTAGGGACTAAAATGGCTTGTGGGGGTCACACTCCTAATACACGCACCTCCTTCACTGGGGTGTTCAATTTAATCTCGCACAGCAAAAGATATTTATAGCATAAATGAACGCCCACTTACGGCACCAATCGTAGGGCCTCATCTCACAGGCATGTGGAGCCTTTCGTTTGACACTGCCACTGTGTTATAGCAAGTGGCTATTAGACCTCTTGAATGTAGAAGAAATGCAGGTTAGCAGACTGTGGCCCTGGGTGCAGGTTTGGACATGTAGCCATATTCTTCTAGTACGAAAGTGATACATCCCTGTTTGAAAATAAAGCTGTTACTCTTAGAGGCTGAAACACACAGAACACACTCAGGGTGCAGAATTACTGTAGCACTCACCAAGTGCCAAATGTATGTAAAAATAAAACGGACTTACTAGCCAGTTGGCTGATAACATCCTTTTTTAAAGTTAATTAACATGTTATGCATGATTTAAATGCCAATGAAAGAATAACAATAATAATCTTACTGGAGGTTTGGGAATTTCTTCTTCTAATAACTTTTACCGTAATTGAAAGGTTACCATTAGAAATTTAGCTAGGAAGCCAAAGGTTACAGCTTTTATTGCTGTTACTCCTGTGTTAGAGTTTTGCCACCGACAGACAGCATTGACTAAACCTGATGATCATGCTATCTAGCATTTGTTTATTTGAGAATGTTCCAAAGAGCACCCTGTGCTTCAATGAAAGGTTTGGCAATGGAAACAAAATCTGAACTTTTGTCAACGTTCATTTGTCAACAGGTTCAATGTCACAAATCAGACTGACCTAAAAAATAGTGCTGAATCTTAAATATTCTTTTTTAATTGTACGTTAAAAAATTTGCTTTTTAAACTTTTATTTCTGATAGTTATTTATAATAGATCTGGCACTCTATGTAAAAAAGTGTCATGTGTTTCTCTTTCTTAAAGAACTTTTAAGAAAATGTTGGTAGGAAGATTGCACTTTTTGAATAATTGTATTTTTTATTTTACTTTTATTTTGGAACCTTTAAGTACATATGATTTTTAAATTATCCTTGTTTGTTCATTGAGTAAAAAGCAGTTAAGTAGTCACTATTTCTTTATTATTATTATTTTACTAGTGAGGATTTTGCTGGAAGCGATTTGTGTGTTCTACTTAGTAACTATCGATAGATTGGGCCTTTTTCATGGGGGCAAGAAAAGATCACATTAAAAATGTTTTTTGAGCAAATGCAAAAATATTGATGTATCAATTATCACCAAAATTTGAAAAATATAGAGATATAATTTTAAGTCTCTATAGACTTTTACTTGTATCACCCACCCCTACTATAGTATAAAAATGAGCCAGTTGAGGTAGCTCATCCATCTGGTCAGGCCGCTCAAGCTCCTTCCGGTTGAGGTGTTCTTTGCATGTCTAATTGGGAAGAGACCCAGGACACGCTGGAGAGACTTTATCTCCCAGCTTGTCCGGGAATGCCTTGGGAACCCCCAGGAGTAGTTGGGGGAAAAGGACATGTGGGCAGCACTGGGCACATCTACTTAGCCTGCTGCCACAGTGACCTGGTCCCAGAAAAGCGGCTGGAGAATGGATGGATGGATGGATTACTGGAAGTCAGCTGTGCTGAAGCACTTATAACCCAAACCACTGAAAGATATAACCACGACAGGAATTTCTTTATTCATCATTATGGACTGCTATGATATGTGGTGTGTAATTAGATGTGTATGACTCTGATAGATATTGGAAATCAATTTTCAACTGTCTCACCAGATCTTGCATAGCTCTGTTAAACAATAGCTTCTTGCTTCCTGTCCTCTGTGCTGATCCAAGACCCGTTTTCCCCTAGTCATATCCACATTGACCTTACGTTGACTTCCTCTCCAAATGTCTTAATTTATTCCCATATCTACATATGTTGTGCCCCACAGAAGAAAGACATTAGTAAATAGTTACAGAAGTTTCATTATTGGCTAAACTACACTTTTAAGTGTGAAGTTTCAGTCTAAAGGGCGTGACCAAATCGGCGTCAAAGAACTACCAAAGTAGTGATGTCACCTCGTGTCACCTGTGTCTGGGGCTGGGCCAAAAAAAATTGCGCATGAACACACCACAAAGACTACAGCCAACAGCCAAATAGCGCGTATATTCTGCGCCTGTGTGAGGGAAAATAACTGTCTATATCAGCAAGTGGTAGTAGTAGTTTATACTCTTCACTCCAAAAAGTAAAACAAAAACTATGACTACGGAAATACAAATTAACAAAGCAGCGCTTGCTTACCATTTTGAATATGAATCATGTTGAAGTTCACTTTCTTCATTCCAGACATGTCGGAAATATTTGCGTATTGGAATGCTCAGGTAACATGTTAAATTTGTTTGTCTGTGTGTGCCCTTTTGACTTAATCATTTGCTTGTTTTAATCGCTTTCGTTTTTTCTTGTCCACTGGTTTGCTTAGCTGAACTGTTCAATTGGACAAAAAGCCGACATCATGGTCCCTGACAAGTCCCAATGGTGCAGAACACACCACAAAAACTGAGCTGACAGACACCCGACGGCTGACCATTGTTTTGGTGTGTCATGGCCTTGAAACTGATTTGGTGCAAATATTCTCAACTTTTATTGTGTTGAATTACTTTGGATCAGTTCATCCTTCCCTGAAGTTTTCCAGCACGACGGGCTGTTTAGAACAAAGAAATATGTTCAAAGTCTGGGTTGAGAGGTCATGTAATCTGATTTTAAGTCAAGATGTACCACTGCAGCACTTGCACCTCTGCAAGTCCCCATGTGACACTGAGCATCTAATAGGCCTTTCTCTCGCACCACTGTGCCGTTGACGTAAGAACACACACAAAACGGCCACACACACCCTCCTATAGGTTTCACACAAGCATGACTCCATAAATCCACCCATTTCTGTGCGTTTCTCAAAACACGTGCTGCTTCAGATGCCTAGAAACAGCATGTGATCTCAATAACACGTTCAGTACATCTTTTGTTGACGTATCCATTTACATTGGACCGTGTTAAAACATAAACAATGATTGAGTTCAACTAGCTCGGTTTCACTTTTTCCCCATCTGTCTCCCCTCAGATTCGCTACATTTCTCAGACGCAGGGTATGCCAGGAGAGCATCTGTTAAATGTGGGGACGAAGACCTCTCGCTTCTTTTGCCGGGAGTCAGACTCACCGTATGCTGGCTGGAGACTTAAAGTGAGACCAAGAAAAATGACTCACACACACCAGAACACCTGTATCATGTTCACGATATAAGCATGTTGAAGAGATAACATGAATTGTAATTCACACTTCTAATATGTGATCAAATAAATTCTAGCCCCACTGAATATTAGATCTATCAGGATTTTATTGAATTGTGAAAACTTGTCTGTTACATTGATGGTTACTATTATTTTTACCCACCCATGTTTCAGAGACAATGACCAGAAAGTATTTTGGCTTAAATATATCAAGCTATAATAAAACTTATAAATATAGCCTTTTTTTATGGTTTTAGCCAAGATTTTATGCATTTTAAAATTATTTTCATGCCATTACTGTAATGTGAAAAAATAATGATATATTTAAATTGTATATTACAAATTTAAGTATATTTCATGAAATTATTTGTTTGGACTGAATTCAATTTATGATCATAAAAATCACCATGCAATAATATATCTTAATAATCATAAAAATAGTTGTTGTTTTTTTCCCCTCAAAAATATGAATCTTTGGATTTTATTGTGGGGTTATGTGCTGGACATTTCTTCTTGAAATTCATCCATTATTGCATTTTAATGAAAGACTGTTAACAAATATGTTGGTGCACAATAATAAATAATGCATTATAAGACCAGGGACATGTATAAAAGTAAAGAGGGTCTATTTGATTTTGTGTCTTCTTTAATATACATTTGTTTCAGTCCACAGAAGAGCATGAGACCGAGACGGGGCTGAAATCAAAAGAGGCCAGGAAGTACATCTTCAGCTGTTTGGATGACATAGCGCATGTACGTATCTTTGGATCAGGATCAAAACACAGAAAATCCCACTTTCACCACATCAGTCTTCAGAATCAATCACAATTCATTCTCTCCCAGTGGAAAATCCCTACAAGGAGAGCTGCGGTTACTTTACAAATGCGAATAGAAATCTCATTTTGTGCTGCGCAAGTTAAAAGTGTAACATGAACAAATCACGTCTATTTCCCAGCAGGCACCTTTCAATTCACTAATGACAGAAAATGTGTGTCAATCCTCTATTTTATCCAGTAGGACCACATGGAATCTATTCCAAGCTTTGTGCAAGTCAAATCTGTGGAATGGTTTAGGTGAAATGTTTCCTAATAAAAAAAAGAAAATTGTATTGAGGGGATGAAAGATTTAAGTTGTGATGATCAGTGAAACACTGTCAACAAGATTTTGTTTTTCTCTTATGCTCACCAAGGCTGCTAAAATAGAGTACAAAGAATTTGTGAAATATTACAAAAACTAAAAACTTTTATACTTTTAAGTAATTTATTCCTGTGATCGCAAAGCTGAATTTTTAACAGCCATTACTCCAGTGTCACATGATCCTTCAGAAATCATTCTAATATGCTGATTTAGTGCTCAAGAAACATTTCTTATTATTATCAAACGTGATGCGTTTCTTGAATAGAAAGTTCAAAAGAACAACATTTATTTGCAGTAGAAATTATTGTAACATACATGTCTTTACTGACACTTGTGTTCAATTTAATGTGCACTATTATGCATCCCTCAATATGAGTAATTATTTGTTGTTTGTGTATTTTTTTTTTCCCAGGTGAATCTAGTGATGAATCTGGAAGGCTGTGATTTGTTGGCAGAGAAAGTTGATCGTGCAGAGTTTGTGGGTTTGCTGAAGAAGATGTTGTTGATAGATGCTGAGGAAAGAATTGCCCCAAGTGACGCCCTTAGCCATCCCTTTGTTACCATGCAGCACATACTAGACTTCCCCCACAGCAACCAGTGAGCGGCTTTTCATTTCTCAGCCTTGTTTGTGATTCATTCCTTCTGACTTTTTCAGATAAAGCACTTTGACAAAACTGAGGTTTTGTGTTCTGAATGATCTCTTTACAGTGTCAAATCCTGTTTTCACATCATGGACGTGTGCTGCTCACGACCAGGCAGTTATGAGTCCCTCAGCCGGACCAAGGCTCAGTTTGTCAGGACTGTCCCAAGCACTGGAGCAGCGCCCAACCTTACCCTGCCCTTCTGCAAGGTGACTGGCATTCACACTCAGGTACTGAAAGCATCGCCGTTACAATGCTGCTAGGAAGTTTGTGAACCCCTAAGAATTTTTTTTTTTTTTTTTTTTTTTTTTTTTTATACATCCAGCTCATATCAGCTCCTATTTCTGTTCAAAAATCTCTTTTAAAAATTGCACGGCAATTTTCATTTTACTTTTAATGTTTACTTTGTCCAATTCCCGCTTTGTTACCTAGCAACCTTGTAAAATAGTTTTTGGTGATGTTATCTTTAACACTTTTCATGTGGAGGTCAAAGCTTTGCATGACGCATGTGCTGAAGGCCACGTTGAAGGCCGCAAAGTTTTGCATTCCTCTAGCTAAAACAGCAGAGCATGGAGTCCATGATCTGTTGAATTGAATATCTTTAGTGTAGAGCTATCATGATGTCATGTTTTCACTACACGACTATTGTGGCCAAAAGAATTCACGATAATGATATTATCATATCTACAGAAATTGCTGTAGACAAAGAACAAAAAATATCAGTCAAATGTATCTTAAACTTTTGGCCAAAAAGAGAAAGCACAAAATAGACAATGAATCACACTCAAAATATGAGTCTAGTAAGGAAGAGAGAGAGAGTTTGTTACCATAACTGTACAAAAGCGTACAAAAAGAACATACTGTCGATCGTCTAACACCCCATATTTTTTACGTAATTCAACTATTTTTTTTCAGCAGCGGGTAGTGGCTTGCTTTCGTCCATCATCTTTGACATAACTTTGTGAGGCAGTAGTAGCTACACACAAGGTTTCGTCTATCGGCATTAATCAAAACGGTTTAGTTTAAATGTGCATTAGATGTATTCCAAAAAAAAACTTCAATGCATGCACAGTGTGCAGTTATCGTGTTCAGAACCGGAGAAAGTCAGCGCAATAAAAGCACCATTTTTTTGCACTTTGTTATCGACAAAGTAAATGTGTGAAAAAAAAATTGCCACATTTTCTATAATCAGACTGTGAATTTAAACTATTGTTTCCATCCAATTGGCCTTTTACCAATAAAATCGTGTGCGTACTGACTTCATCCCTTCAAAAAAAAGTTTTGTTGCATCGGTAAAAAAATCTGCCCTCGAGTAGTTTCCATACATAATTTAGCGTACATTGCAGATTATATTTTATCTTTCGCATCCCAAATATTTGTGAAATGCAGAGAGAAATGAGAAGATTGAAATTCTACAGTTTACTGCTTACTGTTTTCATGAATAGGCCTATTACTAAATTAGGAAATATTAGGAAATCAGAAGATCATGGCAAAGTGGGACAGCTTCGAAGCACGAAGCCCATGGGTTTGGACACAGGGCAGCTCCCCAAATTTAGGATCCATAAAAAAGATTGGTACAGTGAAATGTTTGGTCATATAGCAACAATCTTTAACATATGCCTTGAACATGCAGTCAAGCCAATTGCGTCTTGACGTGGCAGAGAACGCATACTGTATAGATCATTTCAAACTAAAAATAGTTTATTGTTTCTGGTTTCAGAGTTTAGTAACATCAAATCCATCAAATTGCTGTTGTTTTTTTTCTCAGAGACCGATGCAGCTGTAACCTAAACATTTTATTTGTGTAGGCCTATATTTAACTTTTTCAAATGGTCTTTAGTTGCCATCATAACAATTCTAAAATTAGTTTTGAGCTTTTTGGACTCAACCCACTTTATTTTCTTAATTTGTTTGAGATCAAATTATATCACATTAATGAACAATGAACAATCACTTGCTGCTTTTCCGAATGAATCCGCTGTTGAACAAATCGGTTGAATTAATGACTCCCTCAACTCACTTAAGACAGTGCCTTGCCGCCACCTACTGGCGGTTTTAGTTTCACATTTAAAGTACCCTTTAATTAGAACGTTAAAATTAGAAATCAGTTCATATTTAAATATTGAATTTAAAAAACAATCTCATAGCTTTATTTATGCAATTTTAAATGCAGTGTAAATATATTAATGTCAGTTCTGATGTCACTTCTGTGTCACCTCTGCACTGCAAAGATGGATTTTGATTTAATGATTTAATTTGACTGGTAACAGTGGTATTGTGTTACTATTCTAATAGCGTTTCATTTGAATGTTAGAATTTGACATAAAAGGTGATGCATACATCTACAAATGTCCATATATAGGTGAAAATGCCCCTGGAAATCAATTTAAGGTGTCAAATATTACCCCTTAATCATTTTTTATTTATTTCTGTCACTGCTGTGAACTGACCACTGCATAGAATATGAAAAATATGAATATCTTCGTGAGTCAGCTGTCAACAACAGGCCTAAACCAGCCATGGCACCAAGCACAAAATCACAATCAGTAAAATATTATCTAATTATTATCAACAAAACTTGGAAAATAACGATACATATTTTTGTCAATATTGCACACCCCTAATGCACGGTATTAATTGTTTTCTTTGGGTCTTAAAAGGTCTTAAAAAGCCTTAAATTTGACTTTAAAAAGTGTGCAGAAACCCTGTATATATTGTTGCAATTAGCTATCACAACTAGCTATACGTCAGAATAACTTTAACTTAAGATAATTCCAATATACAAGTTGTCGCATAATACAACTTCACATTTTAAGTTGACTAAACTTAAAATGTTAAGGTAGCATGAACACTTTAAGTTGAAATAACATAATTGGTTACACTTTATTTTATTTAAGGTGACATAAGCCATATTCGGACGGTAATTGTTTCTGATGGGGACGTAAGGTGTTATCAACATTTACAGGGATTAGTCTGTTATTTTTATTATTATTTTTTTGCTGTCTGTATCCAGAATGTCAGTGTTTTTCTCCCACCACCCACGTAAAAATCACCAGCTGAATTACCTACTGTTTTTTGACAAAAACCAAGGTTGTGTGGTAATTTAATTGCCGTCCGAATCCAAATCTCTGAGTTTACAAGAATCAATTCAAAATTCACATTTTAAATCCCTTTTGACCACTGCCGAGCACCGTGTGATAACTGTTGCGCTTCACTGTAATTTGCAAGCATTTTAAAGATGTACATTTTTATCACTAAAATGCTAAACATTTGAAATGGGCCGTTATTGTGGCAGCAATATATGCAATACCGTTTTAAAATATGTATTAGCTATATACAATTACATGCATTAAAAATATAAACCAAGCAGCTTTGTTTACCTCATGTAAAAAGAGGCTGCTTCAACTTATTTCCGCTAATTTAGTTATTTTTAAAATGACATCCATCCATTAGATAAAATGCAAGACAGAAAACCATTTCAAATATAGTGTTTAAATAGGACAATAATGTCCTATTTATTATTTAATTGTTATTTAATCAATAAAAATGTATTCGTATTATTCCAAGCATATTACATTTTATTTACAGCAGACAATCATGTGACTGACCATGTGAGCAGGGAGTTCCCCGGTTCGTAGGATCACAAAAGCACCATCCGAACTCACGAGTTTGGTCACTGAGTTGCCATGCAAATGTATTTTTAAAGACGTCCACATGAGAAACAATTACCGTCCGAATAGGGCTATAGTTACATTGTACTTAATTAGGGGTGTCACGATTCTCCAAATCCTCGATTCGATTAGGTTTTTGATTCTAAGGTCACGATTCGATTCGATTCTCGATTTAAAAAAAAAAATTTAAAGCGCAGATTGCTATGCAATTTTTAGACTACACGTTTATGCATTATGCAATATAAATTTGTTCACAATGTACACTACACCATTGCCAAATTTAAAATATAACAAAAACAAGTAACATCATAAATGTAACAATAAACTTTATTAAGTCAATTGGAAACTTAAGAGAAACTAAATGGCAGGTTACTTTGCTTTTGTAACTGCAGTCTTCTCAGAAGATGACATTTATGTTCATTAATATAATGTGCTGTGACAGTCATGAAGCTCTGTGTTGCTTTGGAGGTCCAGCAATCTGTAGTCAAGGCCACTAAATGTGCACTTCTCAGACCTTCAATAACTTTCTCCTTTACATTGTTGTACAATGAGGGTATCACCGTAGTTGTGAAATGCGTTCTACTTGGGATTTCGTAGCGCGGTTCTAGCACGCTAATTAAATGCCTAAATCCGGAGTTTTCCACCACCGAATAAGGTCGCATATTTGCAGCGATGAATACTCCTAAGGCGCTTGTAATTGCATTTGCACGAGTTGAGTTACTTGGAAATTTAATTCCAAATGAAGACGGGAGAGTAGGCTAGTTTGTACAGTTGTTGGTTTGACCGACAAATCTATATTTTTGTGCTGTCTGCGGATATGCGCAGCCCAGGGCCGGATTAAGAATTCAGAGGGCCCTGGGCACAATGTCTTGTAGGCCCCCCCTTAGGCAGGCCAAATGTAGTTTGTCCAAGGACATTTTAATTTGGCATTAACTGTATTACTGACTTAAAAAGAACTTTGTTGTACATATTACTTCATAAATGATCTGTGTTTCCCATAGGATTTTATAAAACTATGTTGGGTGGAAATCTATCCCTCTAGGGGGGTTCGGGGGCATGCTCCCCCGCAAGAAAATTTTGTACATTTTAAGGTTAAATGCATCAATCTGGTGCACTTTGAGAGCTCACATTTAAGAGCTTCAACCGGCTTTAACCCATGAACTGTGCACATTGAACAAAGAAAAAGCATTGACTTGTACCTGGACATTAAAGAGGGCTCAAACATCTTTTTAGTTATGATATAGAGTCTCAGTCTGCATTACATTATCACTGGTGTTTTAGGATGCCAAACAATTATTATAATAATGATTTATATAATTATTCCTATGACGTAAAATCATATACCTCCTATAAATGTAGCCTAAAAGTATTTTGCATTACATTACACAGTATAGGAAAAGTACAATACTTTTGTCCTAATTTCTTTAATTGCCAGAAATAAACCCTTGAGCTTTCATTTTGGAGAAAACACCAGATCACCATGCTGATCGCGTGAGCAAAGTGCGCACTTCTCTTTAAATCACGCAGCACAAACAGAATGCCTAGGCTACTTAAAGTCT